TATAATATAAGAATCCTAAAAAAAAAGTTTACTTTTAGAGATGAAACATTTGCTGAACAGACTTAGATGATATGGAAATATTATGCATCATAAGCATGTTAAAATGATGAATAGTCTTTTAAGTGCAAATGTGAGATTAAGGCTGAGTTAGGATTTTTGACATCAGTCCAAAAGTCATATTTGTCATCTGTTCTTTTATTTTTTTTTCGTATCAATCTCATGTTGTTTGCATGAGTTGTATTTGTTTCTGCAACATAAACCTTGTGTTTGATGCCAATGAATGCCATTTGAACATGGGTGAGAGGAAGCAGAATGAGAGACTGTGAAAGAGAGAGTGTGTTAGAATGTTTTTGTGATGATTTTTGGACAGAACATCAAAAACACAGTCGAGCAAGAAGACAGCTTGTTCTGTTTGCATCATATCTCACACAAACATGCACACGGTTGTCGGTACACTCACAAACCCCAGAGCACACACAAAATGCAGTCACACAAATGCAGCAAATCATTCATCCATCTTTTATGCTAGGATGCGCAAAACTTCGGCATCCCTGTAAATTGCAACTAATGCGTGGGAGGAAAAAAGGCAGACAGAGCACAGTGAGAATAAAAACAGAAAAAAAGGAAGAGAGTGGAAGGAAACAGGGGAGATAGATGAAAAAAAGTCTGTCAGAATGAAAAAGCAAAGCTCAGTAAGGTTGGAAATTTCTTTCTCGAGGTCATATTTAAAGCCCTGTAGGATATTCAGGTTTTATTTTATTTCAGTGCTGTCTTCTCAACAATCTCTTTATTTCAAATTTTTGTGTCTTTCTGTCCAATATTATTCATCCACAGAGTCCCATTAAGACACAACTGCTCTGAACAGGCTTTTGTTATATTGTCTGGTCTAATTTGCATTTCCATTACATATTAGGCATGCCGCAGGTGCTCCTGGGTGCTCCAAAAACCGATGCAATATCTAAATAAAATGAGATGGACGAGGGTTGGATTGTGGTTGTCATTTGTGCTGTTTTTTTTTTTAAATTGGGGGGAAAATGCAGAACAATGATTTTAAGAAGATAAATAGTACACCGCAAACTAAGAAATGTGGTTTGATTTCTGGGTTAAATCTGTGCATGATGACTATGTTTGCACCGTTACATAGGCATGTGTGAATAACTTTGGGCCAGCTGAATTAACGTAAGGTAAAGTTGGAGCTGGCTGGAAAATAAAATTCTTTTGTGCAGAAATTATGAATTTGTTCCAACTAGGAGATGTTAATAACTGAACACTTACAAAGCATATACATACTGTTTGTATATATA